ACACACATGCAGGAAAAGGCAAAGGAACGAATCTTTTTAAAACCCACATGTTCCCCACCTCGGGGTGGCCCTTTGGATGGCTCTGTGGAGTCTTGATTTGCTACCCATGGCCATTTATTTGCCAGAGTCCTCTTCATTCCGTTGCAAACTGGTCATTGCAAGATCAACATGTCCCTTGTCCTCGGTGACTGTTTCCTGGGTCTGCACCCTGGGGGCGCCCTGTCCCAGCCCCTCGTCCATCTGCTTGGCGGCTGGCTGGTGGGGGCCTCTGGGGCCCTGCTTTCTTCCTGAGAGGGGGGCGGCGCCCAGAGCGCACAGGCGGCCCCTGGAGACGGTGGTCCCTGGGTGACCTGCACTGTTAGATAGTGACCAGCGCTGGCCTGAGGAAGGTGGAGGCACAGGGGTCCCTCAGTGGGAAGCGCTGGAGGGACGATGGGGGGATGGTGGGGGGACGGCGGAGGTTCATCTGGAAGGAGTGGGTGTTCCTGGGTCTCCGCAGCCTCCTCCCAAATACCAGCCAGTGGAGGGGGGGGCAGGAGGGAGTCTCTGGGAGGGTCTCTGGGAGGTCTCCCGCCCAGACCTCCATCCTGTGGGTGATGCCCCCGTGTCACGGGAACTGTGGGATGAGACGTGGGGCCAGCAGCCTGGGCCTCACCAGGTGGCTGCCAAGCCCGGCAGACGCGGGACCTGGGTTTTCACGGTGGGAGTGAGGGGGGAGGCCTGTGTTTGTGCGAGGAACCAGCTCTTTCCACAAGGGTGACCCTGAGGACAGCAGATCCGCTTGCAGCTCAGCTTCAACTTTGAGAGGAGAGCAGGTCCGGCGGTCTCCAGGAGCTGAAGGGCCGCTCCTCCCCCTCAAGGCCTCTGCTGGTCCCGACACAGGGGTTTCCCACCCTGACTGGCCACTACCGCCCCTGGGGGAGCTCAAAACTGCCCCCACTGACGACTTCCCCCTCTGAGAGCCGCGGGCTGGGCAGGGGTTAAAACAGAATCTGTGTGGGCCAAATCCCTCCTGCCACCTGCTGCTGTAAGTAAGCCCCTAACAACCAGCCACACCCATGTGACCTGTGGCTTGGGGCGACAGGGACAGAGACCATATGGCTCCCAAAGCCTCCAGTATTCACTGTTTGGCTCTTTACAGGCCACGTTGGCCAACCCTGGACTGGACGGGCCTCCGCCCGCCGGCCTTGAACACCCTGGTCGCCAGCAACGCAGGGCGCGTGGCCGTGACGGTGCGCGAGGCCATGACCGTGCCAAGTGTAAAAGCAGCCCATTCTCAAGATCAGGGCCCTCGCCGGGTCGCCCCGTGGCCCCCAGCCCCGCCGGGGCCTGGCCGCGTAGATGCCCGCTAATTGGCGTGTGTGGCTGGATACCACTGAACTTGGGGCTTCTTGGCAGCCAGATTGGGACGGCCAGGGAGGGAAGGGACCTCCCGAGCATCAGCCCCTAGGCTCTGGGTCCCTCCTCCTGGGCCGAGGCTCCAGGCGGAACCCAGGGGGAGGCCCACATGGAGACCTGGAGCAGGTGAATCCTAAGAACCAGGAGAACGAGGAGCCTGCGCTCAGGTTGAGACCGAGAAGCGGAGGCTGGGAAGGCGCTGTCCACGGCCAGGGGCGCCAGACATGGCCCGCAGGTGGCCCCCAGTGGGGTGCGGCTGTCCCCTGGTCCAGCCTCCCGCCCAGTGTCTGACCCAGCTGCAGCTTCACGATGGGCAGCTCTGGTGGTGACGGGGACGCACCACCTGGACACACACACTCAGGGAAATCCATGCCAGTGGGATTTTGAATCGTAAATTACTTTTTCATCCGCAGCTTCGGGGAGAAGAGGCGAGGGGGACCTATGGTGCAGATCCCCAAAGGTGGTGGGAGTCTCTGGGTAAACAGAACACAGGGGCACAGCAGTGTGTTGAGTCTGAGGTTCAGAGGGTGAGAACAAATGTATGAATTCTCCAAAGACAAGAGCCACAGTGCCACAGTGCCACAGCGCCGGCCCCCCCCCCCCCCGCCGGAGCGTGACGGAAGGAGGACTCTGCCCTCTCTGGGCTGTAGGAGTGCTTTCCCCAAGCTTGCAACGTCAGGACATAACAAGGACGCTTCCACTTCAAGAAAAAGAAGTGAAATAGAAAATAGAGGACATCCACTTTCCACCGAACTGAAATTGTTTTCCTATGACATCAACAAAGGCGTTCCGCCCTCTGGGACCACCTGGGCCACAGAACAGGAACGGTGTTCCTAGTGTCCCCAGGAAAGTCAGGCCCCGACCCCGGGAGTAGGCAGAGGGGACGGCTGGTGTGCTGTGGTTTGCTGTCCACCATTCTCTACCTCGTGTGCAGGCCGCCTCCCGGCCAGGGCAGAGGCTGTGGAGCAGGCCTGTCCCTCCCCACAGAGCAGGTCCTGGAGAAGGAGCCAGGGAGCCGCGGGTCTCAGAGGACCACAGGCCCGGGGTGTGTGTGCTTCTATCCTGCTTCGGGCACTTCCGCGTTCCTGGCTCCTCTTCCCCGGGGTCCCTGCACCTTCTCCAGCAGAGCCGGGCTCTGCTGTGGAAAGGGAGGTGACTTCCCGGCAGGAGAGAAAAGAAGGGAGTGGTGGAGAGAAGGGGAGCTGAGAAGGGAGGGGCCGGGGTGCGCTGAGAGAGGCGGGAGGAGAGAGTCGTCTGGAGCAGCTGCAAGGTCAAAGGCAAAGGTGGGCAGGGAAGAGGGGCAGGGGCGCTGCTGGGAGACCCCCATGTTTCTGGGGAGGCGCGGAGGTGACTGGGGTCGTTCCTCCTCCAGGGGACGGTGCACGTCCAGGCTGGACCCCGAGGAGGGGGCATCTATTCGGGTTAAGGAGGAGTGACGGAGGGTGGCCACGCCCACTGCCCGTGGGACGGGGAGGGTCAGGTTGGAGCAGGTGGGGCGCAGGTGACTCCCCCACTCCCCGGCTGCCCATCCGCTGCCCCTCCGCTGCCCTCCCGGGAGGCCGTGAGGCCTCGGTAGCCTTGATGCCCGGAGGAGACCACAGGGGCCAGTCTGGGCTGCAGGGCAGCTCGGGACGAGGGTCCCCCCAGCGTGCGGGGGCCTGGGCTCCATCCCCAGCCTGGGGGCGGGGAGAGAGGAAGGAGGGAGAGTGGGGGTGGCAGGAGCCCTGCGCCCGGGGGAGAGCAGAGTGGAACTTCCTCTGGGAAGTGTTTTAACTTAGTTAAGAATGTTGCACAGCGGTACAGAGCCACTGTCCCCTGCTGTTCTGTGCCCCTCGGTGCATAGCTTTGAAAGCAAACTGCAGCGTCTCCTGTAACGTGCTGCTATTTATCATGCGCATATTGTGATGCACACAGTTATTGGGGTGCGGTTGGGACCCTGTATCTGTAAGAATGGTGGGGACCCCGGTCCTGCCTCCAGCCCCTCCAGGTGCCTCAATAAAATGCGAGCAGGGACACCGGCTGCAGGGCTTGGCAGAGGCCGAGGGCGGTCGGTGGCAAAGTGCTTACAGAATGTTCTCCAAAAGGCGGGCTGCGGCTCCTTCCCTGCTCTCGCTGACTCGGCCTCTTATTCCCTCCTCCTCTTTCCAGGATGGAGAAGGGGGACGGGAGCGAGGAGGAGGACTTCCGCTTGGACTGTCACCACGAGAGGTACCCCGCCCGTAAGTACCTCCCGCACAGGCACCTGCCGCCCGAGGACCAGGAACCCTGCAGACAGGCCCGGCCGGCTGCCCTGGGGCCTGCTGCTCCCGGGCCGTGGTACAGAGGGGGACACTGCGGCTGGCGTCCAGGGTGGCAGGCCCATGGGGACACTGCGGCTGGCGTCCAGGGTGGCAGGCCATTTCTGCACAGTGCCTGTGTCCCTGCCCCCAGTGGAGTTGGGATGCTAAGAAAGGAGGCAGGGAGCCGAGTGCCACCAGGGCAGGTGGCACATCACAGCTCCCCAGGCCTGGCGTGGCCGTGGGGTGGGGGAGCACAGTCCTGGGGAGCGTGGCCAGGTTAGGGAGGTGACGTGGACGGGTCTGCCTGCACCAGGGATGCTCTTAAAGGTCACAATGCATCCACTTCATGCGCTTCCCTGTGGGGACCCCAGAAGAAGAATCGGGGCATCTGTTAGGAAAACCAGCGCCACTCGGCACATACGGACTGTAAGGTCAGAGAGGTGGGGTAATTTGCTCAAGGCCACACAGCTCGGCTAGTCAGTGCCCTGCCCATAGCCTCAGATCTCTGAGGGTGCCCCGTGAGTTCCATCTGACAGGTCCCTGACTTGGGGGCTTCCCCACCTCACACACTGCAGGCGGGACGTGCCCATCCCTCACCACTGGGTGGGCCCCGAGGCCTGGGGTGTCTGCAGGAGGAAGAGTCTGGCCCTCAGGCTGAGCAGCCCTCCTGTCCCTAGCCTCCCCGGGCCACGTCACGCGCTGCCCGGTTTCCTGGTAATGTGTCACCTGCCCCTGACGTCTTCTCCCCTGCTTCTGGGGATCCAAACCAAGAAAGCGAGGGTTGACCCAGGGTGGCCCGAGTCTAGGCGTGGGGTCCTGGAGAGACGGGCAGCTCCCACGCTCTGCCCCTGGCCACCACCTGCTGCCTGAGCGGCCGGAAGGAGGAGTAGACGGGGGACGCACTGGCCCCAGGAAGTGGCCAAAACATGCCTGGGGCCAGGGGTGGCCCTGACTGGACATGGGGCTTCCCTCCCAGCATCATGCCAGGCGTCTGAGCTCGGCTGGGGGCTTCGTGGGAGAAGGGGCCGGGAGGAAGCCAGGGGATGGAGTGACCGGGCGTCTCCTGGGGAGACGGAGAGGAGCGTCCACTGGGGAGAGGACCAGGCCGAGGACCCTGGCCTGGCATTTGTGCTGTTGCCGTTGTTCCTGGGGGACCTGGCAGTGGCCTGAGGTGGCAGTGGAGAGGGAAGGGGTGACCGAGGAGCGCTTTGCTGGTCGTTTCCGACGGTGTTGGCCTGGGGTCCCCTGGAAGCAAAGCCCCTGAGACGGGGCCACCGCAGACCCCAGAGCAGTGGAAGCCACCTGGGAGGGCCCCGGAGGGAGTGGGGCACAGGGCGCAGGGTGCAGGCGCGGAGCCACCCCAGCTGTGGCAGGAGCTCCTTGGGGTCACTAAGGGTCACTGGGATGGCCAGATGTGTGACCGCTGACACTCGTGGCTCAGGGCTGGCCAGCTCAGCCCGAGGCCCGCAGGGACAGGGGAGCCTGAGCCCAGGGCCTGCCCGGGACTCCGCCGGTGTGGTCAGGGCGTTGGTGACATGCGGAGCCCGGGAGGGCGCGGGGCCTCGGGGCGGTGGGTGTGCAGCGTGGGCGACGGGGCGGCGTCCAGCATGAGGGTCCCGTCCCCCAGGAGCCAGAGGCAGAGGGGGAGGCAGGGGGCCATCGGCTGCCCCAGGAGGTCCCAAGCCCGGCTTCTGAGGTGCCCCGTGTGTCTCCGTCAGGTGGCCTCGCCCAGGGAGGGCTGCAGACCCCATGTCACATGGCAGGGGACAGAGCAGTCACCCTAACAGGGCTGCCTTGTGGGGTCATCTATTTATCAGAGAGGCGTCTCTGTGTCCTGGGGACACGGAGGCAGGACAGGCTCCTGGACGCTGGTGAGGCCCCAGGTCTGCAGTGGGCAGAGAGACCCTCCCCCCCGCCTCGGCTGCGTGGCCATCGCTGCCATGAAGTCAACACAGAGGGCGGCGCCCACGCAGCTTGGGGCGAGGCTGGGGACGGCCGTGGGTGGCCGTGAGGACACTGACTGGGGGCTGGTTCATGGCTTGGTGCTGACCCCTGGACTTGATGGTGAAGCTGGTCTGAGCCATGTCACTCAACACGCCCGACGGCAGGTCCAGCCCAGGTCCTCTTACGGAGGGGGAGGACCCAGCACCAAGAGGCCAGGCCACATTGCGGGGCTCTCGCGGCCTCTAGATTTCCCAGTCCTTGTCTGAGGCGGCCCCTGCTCACAGCCTCCCGCCCCAGGGCCCAACCCCACCTCCTCCCGGCTCCTCTGTGTCCTGCTGCTCAGCCCAAAGCCGGAACATGCACTTCCTGTCCTCTCCGCCTAATGCTCTCCCTCTAACCCTTTGCATGGCTCACGCTGTCCCACCTTTAACATCAGCTGAAAGGCCACTTCCTGTGGAAGGCACCGTGCTTGACATAAGCGGTTACATAAGCTTTGGGTTATCTTTGCTGTCCCCAGATTTCCTCCCACCTTCCCCCCTTGGGTTTCTGTGATATGGATTCTGCCACTTTCTCTCTCTTTTTTTTTTATTCCTGAGGAAAGATTTTTGCCTTTGAAACCCGCCTTTGGGGCTTCCCAGGGCCACCAGCTAGCTCACGAGCACACCAGACGTGACATTTGATGAGGAGACACTGCCGTACGGGCCAGGTGTCTGCATCTTCCGTTCCGGGGTGGCTGGGTTTTGCAGCTGATTGTGGCTGTCAAGTTCAGTGCCAGGGACGAGCCTCTGATTTTTCCAGGTGTGTCTGGGAGGCCCGGCTCAGCGAGAGGCTGTCACTCGGCGGGCACAGAGGTGGCTTCTGGGAGCTCCGTCTAGACGGGTCTCAGCCACAGCTGCCCTCAAAATAGCAGAGGGAATTTCAAGAAAGACTTTTTTCCTGGTCCCCGAGCAACTTGGCATTTTTATTAGATCAAAAGCAAATCCAGCCGAGCCCCTCGCGTGGCCTCCTTTATTAAAACGGAAGCAGACGGTGCTTCTGAAATAAATATCAAGGCCAATTTGCTGGCAGCACGGGTGGGCACACAACTTGAAGACGTCGGAGACCCCAGCCCTGGGGCCAAGAGACTCAAGCCACCGTTAGCATCAGAGTCCCACGGTGTGGGGGGGTACTCGTTAGAGGGCTTGACGGACAGCTGGCCCCACCCTGGGAGGTCCCCGGTCAGCTCTGGCCGGGACCTGGGGTCTGTGTTGTACCAAGGATGCCGATGCCCCTGGTCCATGCACCAAATTCAGAATAGCGCTCGGCCCTGCGCCAGCCCCGGCCCCTCTGAAGTCAGGAGGTCTGAGCGCTGCGCAGCGTCTCCGTCTTACAGTGAAGGCACTTGGTTCCCAGAAGCAGAGCCGCTGGCCCTGGGTCACAGCCCATGGGACCCTCCCTCCTTCGGGAGGCCCCTGTTTGTCCGAGGCAGGGGCACCCCAGCCGTCCTGTTGCTAAGAACACGCGGGGCACTTGTTAAGGTGTAGAGTCCCTGGGAAGTCCTCCGTTGGGAGGGACCAGGGACCCGCGTCAGGTGAGAGGAGGTGGAGACCCTGAGACCCCGGGGTGAATCCTCGCTCCTCGGGGGTCTGCTGGGCTCCCAGGAGCCTTCGCAGCTGTAGCCCTTCAGCCCGGGGACCTGTCACTCACCCGGCTGTCCCTCACCCGGCCACACCTCCTGAGACCCCCGCAGGCTGCCAGGAGTCCACTTGGCACCCCGCTCCCTGTGCCCGAGGTGGCCTGGCCTCGCCCACCAGGCAGAAAACAGAACCTACTAGTGGGTCAGGGGCTGCAGCAGGGGCTTGCTTTGCAAGTCCAGCTCAGAAGCCCGGGAATGGCCACCGGCCCCCTCCAGCCCCTGAAGAGGGGGGTGTCCCTCTCCACGCGTCCCAGTCCCCGGCCCTTGTGTGTGTGAATGTCATCGTGAGTCCGAGCCCAACCTTCGGAGGAGTCTGCCTGGACTCAGATCCCAACGGTGAGACCTTGGGCTGGTGACGGGACCTCTCTGGGCCTCGGTTTCCTCATCTGCAAAATGGGCCTCCGCTGACGTGGGTTTTACAAGATCCGAGGAGCTGACGCTCAGGGCACGTCGACGGGCTCACGGCCTTAGTAGGTGCTGCAGGTGTGTGTCCGTCCCCCTCATGCCACCTGAGCACCCAGAGGACAGACGGTGTGTCACTTGGCTCTGAGACCCAGTGCCCAACATGGAGGAATGCCAGTCATCAGTGACTCTCAGGGGAGGTGGCAGGAACGCCCCGCCCCCCCCATCCCAAATTTGAAAAAGAGACAAAGGGCCCAGAAACAAGGGGTCCCCAGAAGACAGACGAGGGGGGAGGGGTGGTGATCTGCCCTCCCACGTGGATGCTGCGCAGACCAACGTCCACCCTGGGATGCCAGAGGGGCTCTCGGCCAGCTGAAGAGAGGGCCGTGTCTGGGTATCTGGGTTGGAAGGAAAGAGGGTTCACCCCCCAGGGACACATATGCCCTCCCAGAACTCTGCTGAGCCTGGGTGGGGGGGACTCCCACGGACTTCAAAACACGGTGCCTCCACCAACCGTGGGACGAGGCTGGGACTTGGAGAGCCTCTTCTTGTCTAGGAGCCTGTTTCCCCTTCTGTGAACAGAGGCCGGGGCCCAGCCCTATCCCAGGACGAGCGTTGGGTCATTTTCCATCAGTATCTGAGGTCCCATGGGGAGGGGCTCCCCGTGGGAGGCCGGCTGGGCCTTTGTACCTCACATGCATTTGCAGGCTCAGAGAGGTGGAGCTGCTTGTCAAAAGCCACACAGCTTAAAAAATGTACATGGCTTGTAAGTGGTGGAGCCGGGACTGTTGAACCCTCTGAGTTACCCCGTGGGTGGGAGGATTCCATCAGCTCAGAGCAGGAAGGCCGCAGGGACCCCACGAGCTCAGCCTCCCCCGCCCCTCCTCCCCCACCTCAGCCCAGGGTGTGCTCTGGGCCAGGCCAGGCCAGGGGCTGGGGACAGAGGGCTGCAGGGAGAGGCCCACCCTGTCCCTGCCCACAGACATCCCCGTCCCTGGGTGACAGAGAGAGCCACACGAAACTGGCTCTTACCGCACAAAGTGACAAGCACTGGGATCAAGGACACGGGACAGAGTCTAAGGGACAAACCGAGGTCATGAAGTGGCCTCGGTGGGCTGAGTCACCTGAGGGGTGCGGCTCTCTCGGTGGCCTGAATGTTTAAAAGTCCCAATTGCTGTCATTTAAAGGCCAGGGGCTCTTATTTTGAAATCCACATTTTCAGTGTCTCGGACGTTTTGGAAGAGCTGTCCCCTGCCTGTGGTGACGCTGACTAGGGAAGAGCAGGCCGCCTCGGCCCTGTCACCTGTGGTTCACTGTGGCCCAGAGGCTGTTTTGAGTTGGGATTCTCAGTCCACAGCGCAGGCTCCAAACCAAAAAGATCGGGGAGAAGGGCAGTGGGTGGGGTCCCGGTGCCCTGCAGGTGGGTCCTGGTGCCCTGTGGGGGACACGCACTGTCAGTGGCTCAGTGTCCCTTTCTGGAGGCCAGAGAAGAGGAGGGGAGCCTCGGTGCTCAGTGACCTGGTCTCCAGACCCAGGGACAGAGCGTCCCATTGTGACTCGAGGATGCACAGGGGCCTGGGCTTCTCTTTTTCCTGACAATGTATGTGACCCCTGGGTGCGTGGCACACAGCTGTCATCTGTCATCCCAGCGACTCAGGAGGCTGAGGCAGGAGGATCCCAAGTTCGAGGCCAGCCTCAGCAACGTAGCCAGACCTTAATTAGCGACAACTTGTCTCAAAATCAAAATAGGAAGGACTGGGCTGTGGCTCGGGGCAAAGAGCCTCTGGGTCCAGTCCCCAGCACCCACCCGCCCAAGATCACTTCCTCAGGGAACTGTCCAGGGCTAGAGCAGCTCCCATCTAAGCACTCCTTGAGAAAACAGCAGACCTCCCCGAGCACCAAATATTTGCTTCTCAATTAAAAACAAACAAACAAACCCAGACGCCTCCCTCTTGGCAGCCAGCACTTCCGTTCCTAAGGCCGTTCCAGTGGCTGCGGCCAAAACAAACGGTTGGCAGACGTTTCCCGCTGCCTAAAAACACAGAGACCCACTCGCAGGACAGCGACGTTAGCGGGTGTTAAAAACGGGGGGGCTCAGCCAGAGCGAGGCCCGCGCCCCTCCGCGGACACAGCCCTCTGTGCTCGCCTCCGTCCCGCCTTCGCGACTGGGAAGAGCCCCCGCGACCTGAGCTCCGTTCCCCGGGTGACAGGCAGGACAGGGATTCCTGCCTCGTGGGTTCCCCAGAGGAGCCCGTCCCCCCTAAGATTCAGAAGTGGGAGTGGACGAGCCGCAGAGCCCAGGCGGGGAACAGGACCTGGGCCAGCCCTCCAGCGGCTCGGGTCACCATCAGGAAGAGGCCAGTCCAGCCGCCGCAGGGTGGCCGCTGGGCCCCCGGCTGGGCCTCCGCCCTCCCCGGTGTAAGACGGTGGACGTCACCCCGCGGGCCAGCTGGGGACTCGGGCTCAGGAAGGGCCCACCACTCTCCCCGTCCCTGTGCCTCTCCCTGTGCCATCTCTGCCCCTCGCCACGGGTCTGTCATTGCTCCCCGGGGCTCAGAGTCACGGGGCGCAGGGGACAGGGCAGGGCCCTCAGGGTGTCCCGAGATGGAGGAGGACAATGTCAGGTTAGGCCCTCTGCAGGGGGGTCCTAGCGGGGCGTGGCCTGGGGCGCCAGAGGGACTGGGGGGATGGAGGTCGCCTCCATAGACTTCAGAGTGGACCCACTGGACGGAGGCCGGGCCTCCCCACTCCTCCTCCTGCCCAGGCCTTTAGGAGCAGGGAGGCACTGGGTGGGGTCAGGCCACCGCTGCCTGGGCACATGGTCACTGGTCAGCATCAGCTTGGGCATGGCCACCCACGATCACTGTCCCTGGGCAGAGGGTCCTGGGGCCAGGGAGTCCTGGGGTCAGGGAGTCCTCCAGTCCTGCTCCTCTTCTAGGCCCACGGGGAGCGGGGAGGAGGGTGGATGGGAAGTGGAGAGATGGGCATGAAGGCTGGGCTGGGTGGACAGGGGGGTGGACAGGGGGGTGGACAGGTGGGTGGGAAAGGCAGGATGGAGCCAGTAGCCTGAGGAGGGTGAGCATCGGGCAGGACACCTGTGGGCACGTGGTGGACGCCACAGTGGACTCCCGGGGACGTGCCCGTGAGTCGGGGGCAAAGACGGGGGTGGCTCGGGGGGTGTTGTGTGAGAAAGGGTTCAGATGTGTGGTCTTGGGTGGGAGGTGGGGTGCCAGTGGCTGCGTCGTGGGTGGCAGGCGTGGACGGGGGACTGCGGGTGACCTGTGGGGAGAGAGCCAGGGTCGGGGCAGGTGCATTTCTGGGTCCTTGGGTGGACGGCGGCAGGGGTGGCCGGTGTGCGTCCCGGCTGGCGAGCCGATGGGTGGCCGTGGGGACTGGGCTGCGGTGGCCCGGGCGGGAGGCCTGGTGGGTGGGCGCCCGGTGCTGACCGCTGTTTCTCTCGCAGGACACCAGCCGCACCTGGGGGACTCCTGGCCCCGCAGCGCAGCACAGGAGGCGCCCGAGCTGAACCGCCAGTGTTGGGTCCTGGGACACTGGGTGTGACCGAGCCCGGCCCAGCCCCAGACGCCCGCCGTCGCCGGCACCATCCCTCCCACGAGAGCCTGGTCTGGGGCCTGGAACCCGGCCTGGGTGGACTCGGTGGCCGTGAGGGGACCCCAGGCCTGTCCTGCCACCACCGGGGCTCGGGCCCTGAGTCATGCCAGGGTGGCCCCGGGGTCTGCTGGCCACAGAGAGGGGACGCCAGCTCTGGACTCCTGCCACCACCGCACGCAGCGCCCCGCTGGGCACGGCCCGGAAAGACCCAGGACACTGGCCACTGAGTGCTGGACCCCCACGACCAGCCAGGAAGCTGAGGAGCTGCCCAGAGGGGCAGAGCCCTGTGGGGATGTGGGGTCCTGAAGGACAGGGCAGCGGCTGGCACCGCGGAGGGCCACCCAACAGGCACACAGCAGGAGCTCAATAAATGCTTGTTGAACCCGACTTCTTGTGGAGTGTGGAGCCCAGTTGCTCTCTGGGCGATGGCTGTCCTGTCATTGCCCCACCGAGGGTCAGTGTCACCCCAAGGAGCCTGGACTGAGCCAAGTGCACTGGGCCAGGGCCCGGCAGAGGGATGCGGGAGCCTGGGGCAGGCGGGAGGGACGGGCCGGAGGGCCGCCGAGGGCTCCAGGTGGGGACAGAGGTGGCCCTGAGCCGGAAGGCGAAGCCCACTCCCCCTGAGAGCCCAGCGATGTCACAGCCCTGGCCCAGGGGACCCTTCACCCACGTCTGGGGCCACCTCTCTCTGAAACCCCAGGTGCAGACGCCGGCGAAGTGGATCCCTGTCCTCAGAATGACCGAGTTTAGGGTCACAGAGACGAAGCCACCTGCCGAGGACTCCAGAGCCGGCCAAGGGCCGAGCTGAGTCAGACCAGGAAGCCGGACCCCAGGCTCCGTCCCCAGGGGCCCCCAGGGGTGTCGAGAGGTTTCTGCCCAAGAGAACACAGTGTCCACTGTCCGTCGTCCACCACCCGGACTCCTCCACCATCCATCCACCTGCCTGTCCACCTGTCCACCTGTCCATCACCCACCCACTCACCGTCCACCCACCTGTCCACCCACACACCCATCCATCACCCACCCATCCCGCCCTCCCTCCGTCCCTCACTGGTTGTCCCCGACACCAGATGTCCCCACCATCCTCCAGGTGTCACCTTCCTCGTCACCCCCCCCGTGGCTCCACCCGCCCAGGGTGTCGTCCGAGCCTCCACCGTGACCAGGCCCTGGGGCAGGCACTCCAGGTGGGCCATGGGAGAGGCCATCTGTTGTCACTCGGTGCCCGCAGACGGCAGGACAGAGGACGAGCCAGGCCGTCACAGCTCAGTGTCCCCTTCCGGGACGAGGCCACCAGGGTCAGGTTCCCTCTCTGTTGGTGACCTGGGACAGGTTGCTTGACCCCTCTGGGTCTCAGTTTCCTCATCCACTAAATGGACGTCCTTGTCAGAGGGCCAAGGGGCCAGCTGCGGACCTTCACCCCAGGCGCTTCCTTGGCGCTTACGGTCACGAGGAGGGATGCTGGGGCCACGGGAGCCTACGGGCGTCCCCTGCTGGGGACAGGTGGAGGGAGTGGTCAGGGGAGGCTCTTCAAGAAAATGAGGTCCAAGCCCAGGTGCAGGTGATCGAGGCCCAGGCAGCAGAAGAGGGCGGGAGGGACAGCTCGGCCACCCTCCAGGTGGCCGGCCAGTCACCCAGGGGCACGTGTGGGGAGGAGCCAGCCAGAGCTGTGGTGGCCGTCACTGCAGGGGTCAGTGGGGACAGCCAGGGCACCGGCTTCTGGAGGAGCCTGGGGCTGAGCCGGGCAATGGCCACTCCCACAGAGCAGGTGGGCAGGTGGTGTCCCAGGAAGGCGGCTGCCCGGGAGCGGGACCCTGTCCTCATCCCACGCCTACAGTGAGCCTAGGACAGTGGCCGGGGGCCAGGGCCTGGTAGCAGGGACGAGCCACAGGACCTAGAGGGGACCCCTGTGGGAGGCGGCCAGCCAGGTGACCTCCGCTGAGTGCCGGGGAAGGTGGAGATTTCAGTCCTGGACGTCGGGCGTCTCAGTGCCTGGGGACACCGCGAGGCCTGGGTCACCCATGCACTCACTCATCCTGTGGCCACCATGCGTCCTTCTCCTTCCCTGGTGGGTACCGAGGACCCCCCATGGGGGGCAGAGCCTGGGAGAGACGGGCCAGTGACCATGACCTCGACCAGCAGGACCAGGTCAGACAGGGCCTCCAGGAACAGGGCCCGGCTGGGACAAGTCGGGCAGGAATCGGCCCAGGTCACCAAGCGGCTTTATTGTCACCGGGGTCAACTGAAGTCGGCCAACAGGCCCCAGGAGACCCAGGGGTGGCTGTAGTTGACACTGGGACCATCTCCATCTCTTTGAACAGTCGTGTTTCTGTGTGTTAGAAAACAGTGTCTCCAGCCACATCAGAGCCACCAAGCCACCGAGTCACGGACTTCCCGCTGGGATGAAGCCAAAGGGGCGTTTCAGTAACAAGCAAAGAGGTGGCTCAAAGGAAATACCAAATAAACAATCCTGCACTGGTGTGTGATCATGGCGTGGGGGCGGCTTGCAAGGGCCCCTGTCACATGGGAAGGGAAGAGGTAGGAGGGTCACGGGGCCACTGGGACTTCAAGTCCTCCTGTCTCCTCCTGAGCACGTCCGGAAGGGGCTGGAAACTAGCTATTTTCCAGTGTAACAAGAGGGCTGCTGGTTAGATAACAGGGAGCACTTCCAGGATGTTCAGGTGACTAATCCAGGAGCCACTGAGAGTTACTTGGAGGGAACTAAGGCCACAGTTGGCTTGGGAGGAGGGGCATGCCACCTGGGGGCCCCTGGGGAACACACAGAGGACGGGGTGCCTTCCTCTGCCCCTGCAAAGCGCTTTCCCAGAGAACAGTCCCCTGTGCTGAGTGGACTTGTGCTGACCCTGATGGCCTTGGGTGTGTGCCTGTGGTGTGGACACCACACGGGGCCCGACCCGCGGCCCTGCTCTCCCCTGGGCGCCCGAGCTCAGCCTCTCTGTCCCCACAGGCCCCGGCTCCCTGTGCCCGGCTGTGTGCTGAGCCTGGTGGCCCCCGCATGTGACCCTCAGAGGCCCTGGGCTCCTCTGCCCGGTGGCCCCTCTTCTGCCAGGTGCAGGTGAACCTGGGGCCAGGGTTCACCCTCTGGCGGGAGGTGACGAGTTAACAGGGTTGACGTCCTCCTAGGCTGGTGACAGTGACCAGCAATTGTCCCCACCACTCCCGCCGAAGCCACCCTATGCCTGGCCACACACTCGTCTCCCGCGGGTAATGGAAACGTCAGCTTGATTCATGGGCAGCGTCTGCAGCGGCCAGGGCTGAGGACGAGGCTGGCCGGGAGCACGTCCCCCGGGAAGAGCTGCCGCTGGGCTGACCGCTGCTCGGGAGGAAGCCGGGACCCAGAGAGCCGCTGGGTTGTGGAGTTAGGTGGGCCTGGGTTCAAGTCCTGCGGCCACCAACCTGCTGCGGCCTCCCTCCTCCAAGGAACACTGACCAAGGGACAAAAGGTGCCAGGAACCGAGCTCAGGCCGGAGCTGCCCTTCTGGAACAGGAAGCTGTCCTTCCTCCTCACGGAGCACTCGGGAGACTCAGATCCTGCACCAAACCTTAAACAGTAAAAGCTCACCTCAAACAGTGACAATGTCATGCAGGAGGGGCAGAGGGCAGGGAGGGCCTGTCCACAGGAGGGTGAGGCAGGAGGAACAGCGTGTGCAAAGGTCCTGGGGCTGAGGACAAGCCTGTGTGGACCGTGCAGTGAGGTGAGGACCTGCGGCTACTTCCCACCAGGCCTCTGGGGTCTGAGTCTGGGCTTCCTGGGTGATGACAAGGGCTGTGCTTTCACCTTGAGGGACCCAGGGAGCAGCTGACAGGAGGGATTTTAAAGGAAGACAGGACCAGCACGGCTGTGAGAGGCTCCTCTGGCTGTGGGGTGCAGGCCTGGGAGACGGGGTGCAGGGCAGAAATGGGGCCAGCAGATCGGGGACTGCAGCAGGGCCTGGTGGGAGTGGAGGCAGCCCTGGTGCTGGCCAATGGACGGTAGTGCCCGGGGCCTCCAAGATAGAGACCATCCTCCTCCACGTGGGGTTCACTACATGGTCAGGCAGGAGGCCACCGGACGGGCCCCTGCCTGTCCCCATCTAGCCTGGGACACGGTTCCCCTTGCTGTCACTTCTTGGGCCACATTTCGCTCCGGACTGACACTTTCTGGTCCCTACCTTAGACAAAGCTGGGGGCCGTTGACACCTGCGGGCCTGGCAGGGGGCAGCCACTGGGAGGGTGGCCGGGAAACACGGGTCCTGAGGGCCCTAAGGCCCAGGAGGAGCCAGTCGGCCTCTGCCTTGTGCTTGAAGCCAACCTGGGGCTCCCTGGGCCTTCGGGGCACCTGCAGGGTGGTGGGGCGGGCGTGGGGCGGGCGTGGGGCGGGCTTCGGGTCCCCCCCACCACAGGAGTCAGGGGAGGGGGCGGGGCCTGTGGAACCACACAGGAGCAGGATTGGCAGAGGAGGGGGCGGGACATCCATCCCTGCTCAGCCAATAGGTCGGCAGCCCTAAGGCCAGTGCCCTTCAGGGACCAATCAGCTGAGCTTGTCCTGGACTTTGGAGAGGGGCCAGGCTGGAGGTGGTGCCCGGCTGCTCTGGGGAAGAGCCTGGGCTCAAGGGTCACGCCGCAGCCCCAAGGTCCCTCTCACTGAGCCTGTCTACACCTGTGGAGTGCGGGGAATCCTGAGACAGAGGGTCCTGAGACAGAGGGTCGTCCCAACCAGGAGGGCTAGAGCTATGAGGGTCTCATGGGGACCACCGTGGCGCCGTGAAGTAGGTACCCTTGGTTCACCTGCCACCTGGGTAAGGAAGCCCGGTCCAGGGTGTAAAGTCACTTGCCAAGGTCACACGGCCAGGAAGTGGTGGAGCCTGGACTTGAACCCAGGCCTGCTGGCCCCAGGACCGTGGCACAGCATCCCCGGTGTGGGGAAGAGGACTTTCCTGGAGCATGCGCACAGGAGGCTGCGAGGAGCGGGCAGCTGTCTGTGGGGCTCTTATCACCACCGAAGGAGCCGAGGCCGCTTCCTCAGCTGGGGCTGTGAGTGGAAGTCCCCCTGGAGAGCTGGGACACTGGAAAGGGTGTCATGATTGCCACAGGGAGACGTGGGACACACCTGCAGCAAAGGACACCCTTTGGCCACTTGGGGACACACACAGCATATGGCCAGCCTGGTTTTGTTGCCCAACGGGATGCCACAGGCTTAAGCCCCAGGCCCCCCAGGGGGTGGCGTGCCCACCTAGCCAAGCCTCTGCCCGTGGAGCCACAGCACTGTCCCTGTGTCCCCTCCTGCTCCTCCACGTTCACATGCCTGGGGCGCTGTGAGCAGGCAAGTGAGGAGCCAGGAGGGCGGCAGGAGGCCCTATGGCCTGGGGATCTGGAGGGACCGCCAGGGGCGTGGCCAGCAGGGAACGCAGGACAAGGGTGACCTCTTTCCAGAGCAGGGGGAGCCTGAGCTCTCCAGTGAGAGGGGCAGCAGCCAAACGGCGACTGGATGGCACAGTGGGTACTGTGCAAACCGAGTCCCCAGAGCGGGAGCCCCGGGCAGGGAAGGGGCCGCCTGGCCCTGGGGAGGTGGCAGGTGGCCCCGGGCAGCTTGGCACACGTGCCTGAGCAGGGCCTCCCGGGTCCTCCTGAGGTGGCATGGGTGCCCTGCAAGACACACCAGCCGTCCCCAAAGAGGAGCTGCCACAGCTGGACGGAGGGGCTGAGCCCAGGGACGGGGCCTGCGCCACTCCTCTGGGAGCCCTGCCAGCTGTCCCTTGGCTGTGGCCAAGATCCGTTTCCAGTAACCCAGGCCTGGGTGCCAACAAACCCCGGCTCTGATGCTCTAGCTGGGTCACATTCGCCCTGGGGTGGGAGTGGGAAGCCCAGATGGGGACATGCAGGCTGTGGGGGAGGGGACCCTCACCCAGGAGGGCCGGGGTGGGGATGTCACCTCTGGGACCCAAAGGACTAATGCTCTGTCTGTCCCTGAGTAACAGGGACCCAGCCCAGAGACCTGGCCAGTGGGGGTGGGGAGCGGTCAAGACTGAGGTGGCCTTGGTCAAGAGCCCCCTGAGCTGCTGCCAGTGTTGTGCTGGCCCCTGAGCTGCAGTGT